GGGCATCTCACCTGGCGGCATATCGATCAAGCCGCCGGGACCCCTCCTGGTGTCGGGTCCTCAGTCAGTGACCCAGAACATGACACAGTCTGCCCCGGGCACCCTCCTAGTGAGTGGCACCCGGGGCGGACCTCCCCCTCCCCCCCTTAGTATGCTACTGCCGCACTTCATTCACAGATTACTTACTTACCTCTTTTCTGCCAAGCAAGCCAAGCTAATGCCTCTTGATGCCAACAGGATACCAAAACCGGCCTCCAGCAACCCTGGGACAAGCAGAGACATTATAGTCCGATTCCAACAAACACAAGACAGATTGGCGTTCGTGGCTGCAATCCGCAGCAAATCTCCTCTGCGCTTGGAGGAACACACCCTTGCCTTTTATCCTGACTTGTCCAGAGCCACTGTGGATTGGCGCAGGTCATTACTAATACTCTGTTAATTAGTAAATTAAACCGTGGCCGCTCTAAAAAGGGTAAAGTGCCATACACCAGCAGAAAGGTGATTACAGTGATTAAATAATCCCTTAAGGACCATAAATCATTTCTCTCTTCCTCCTCTGATGATAATGATTCCTATTATTATGATTCCTCTGATGATGATTGGGTGGATAGCTATAAAGCTTGTCCCCTTATCACACAACAGAGAAAACGCAGGTACTCAGAGACCATTTTGGTCATGAAATAAATGAGGTAGTGCAAGGATACTCGCAACTAGAGCTAACTGAAATTACAAAACTCTATAAAAACAAAATATGGATGAAAGCATTGGTGAGTGGTTGTTGCGTGTGTGGGATACTGGAGCAGATGAAATCATTCTTAATGCCGATGAAGCTGTAAGCATTGGTCAGCTCACAAGTAATCTACAGATTACCCAGGTGTTAAGGTTAGTGAGAAACATTCAAGGTAATTTCAGTTTAAAGGATATCATTAAACATGCATTACTAAAAGTATTCCCACATCACACAAACGTTGAACCACATTCACAATGGCACCCCATAAAAGATGCTATAACCAGAGTCCGTATTATGGGTTGTGTAGCAGGGTTAGACAGAGATCACTGGGAGGGGCCTGAAACAGAGGAATTCACTGCAAGCATGATGTCTATGTTCCTAAGGACTGCCCCCAATGCTAAAAGAGGGTCCCTACTGTCTATGCTAAATGGTACAGCAGAAATGGTCAGATTTTTGTAATCTCGCAAAGGTTAGCAGAATTAGGGGAATATGATTTAGAGGAAAAGGTTAACCAGAAAAGGGGTGTTTTCATGGCTAATAAGTCAGAAAGGGGGGAAACCTCCCAAGGCTAAACCTAAATGGGATAAAAACAGGGATGTTTCACAAAGCACTAGAATATCTAGGAAAGAAATGATTGCTGATTTTGTGAAAAATTGTATAAATGAAGTGTCATTTACAGGAGTTAGTACTGGCGTCTTGTTTAGAAGGTGGAAAAAAATTAAAGAAAAGGGTAAAGGTACACAGTGCATCTAAGAATCCCATACAAGTTGAATAGTTCATTACTTTTGATGAGGTTCCCATTTCTGCAGCAGAGAACACTGAAAAGAGTCTTAAATATACCCAACCTGAAGCCAATATGCTTGATTCTAATCCTTGGCCTCATGTTCCCTGTCCTAGGAAATCAAAGTCTCTGTACCCAATCGCTGAACTGAGAACCATTGCAAAACAAAACATGGAGGACTGATGGGATGGCCGATCCCCGGCACAAATATGTTACCCATCATGGCTGGGGATCAACTGCCCCATGTTCCTTTGACTATTTGGTGTGGAAAAGGAAAACATCACACCAAGGTTTTAGCTCTAGTTGAAACTGGGGCTGAAGTAACAGTGCTACAGGGTAATCCTTCACATTTTGTAGTCCCCATAGTCCACAGAGATGGTCTGGGGGGTAGAATAACTAAAGTTGTTGTGATAAACGCCCTGTGGTATGGTTGTTTGCCATGATCTCCTGGATGAGCCTGCTTGCCTGTCTCAGGACTATGGGCCCTGCAATATACCTTGCCCAATGCACTTTAAAAGGCTCCCTTCATGGGGGAGCATGCGCTACACTCTCACCGGAGCGGACGTATGTGCTAGAGCTCCATACCTCGAAGGCTTCAAAGGAGTAATATCAACCAAAAAGCAGCAAGATTTTTCATCTCCATCCCCAGTATGTCCCAGCTGAAGTGTAAGAGACATACGGAGAAGGCAGATAAGGCTAATTTTTTCAACTCAAGAGCAGGGCAGGGGAAAACCACGCAGCCGCCATGAAATAGCCATGAAAGACATACATAAAGAGATGCAGGAACTGGGAAACTGTACCTCACACGTGGAGGACAAGATGGTGGAGTTCTCAGAGGCACATAATGACCTCGCAGGGAAAGTTGACAGCCTTCTCTCCAGAATAGACTTCCAGGATCTGAAGCTGGCTGATATGGAGGATAGGGCACGCCGAAATAACCTGCGCATTAGAGGTATTGTAGAGAGTGTCAGCCAAGAAGATCTGACTGCCCATGTTACAGGCCTGCTCCGCAAGCTAGCGCCAGACAGACCTATTCCTCTTTGAAAGGATTCACCGCACGGCGAGGCCCAAGTTCTTGCCTCCGGATACACCGTGAGATGTGCTGCTAAGAATGCATGTGTTTTCAATAGAATCTGGGACACCTGAAGTTGTACATTCTGGTTTAAAGAATAAATCTAAATTTTTCCCAACCTGGGAAAAGGGAGACCATATACCAGTTTTTTGTGAAATGGTGATTAGTGAATTTGAGAAACTCTCTAAAAGTAGGGGTAAAGATAATTTAACTAGGAAAGAAAAACAAGCTTTAAAAGAATTAAAAGAAAATAAAGATATAGTAATCAGGCAGGCTGATAAAGGTGGAAGTATCGTTATTCTTAATAGGACTGACTATATGAAAGAGTCACTGAGGATATTAAGTGACTCAGATACCTATAAGACTCTAAAGAGTAATCCCATAGGTAAGTTCAAAGAAGAATTACATAATATCTTATCAGCAGGTTTGAAAAATGGGATTATAAATAAATATGAGTTTGATTATTTATTTCTTAAATCACCTAAAACAGCTGTCTTTTACTACTTACCTAAAGTACATAAATGTTTGGAATCCCCACCAGGAAGACCCATTATTAGTGGAATCGGGTCTCTAACAAGTAATATTTCACAGTATATTGATTTCTTTTTACAGAAATATGTGGTTCTAGCTCAATCATATACCAAGGATTCCGTCCAGATCATCAAGGAATTGGAAGGTCTTGAATGGAAAGATGAATACCTTTGGGTAACAGTTGATGTCACCTCCTTATACACTGTGATTGACCATGAGAAGGGTATTGAAGCAGTACAAAATGTTTTGAGGTGTGATCCAGATATGAATCAGGGACAGGCTACTTTTGTTTTAGATCTTATCCGATTCATCTTATTTCACAATTATTTTTGGTTTGAAGGGATATATTACCTCCAAACCTGTGGAACAGCGATGGGCACCAGGTTCGCACCAAGTTACGCCAATATTTTTGTGGCAGATTGGGAGTTGAACTATATTTGGCACAATAACCCATTTGGTGCGAACCTGGTGCAATGGAGAAGATATATTGATGATATTTTAATTATCTGGAAAGGAGGTAGAAGCCTTTTAGTTGAATTTTTAATGTACATCAACTCTAACACATATGGATTGAGGTTTACTGAAGAAATTCATGATACGTGTATTAATTATTTAGATCTCACTCTTTTTATAAAAGACAATAAAATTTTTAGTAAAACATTTTTTAAACCGACAGATGGAAATGGTTTTATTGAATTTTCTAGTTGCCACCATCGGAAATGGTTGACAAATATTCCTAAAGGTCAGCATCTGAGATTATATAGGAATTGTACAGAGAAAGAGGATTTTGAAAAACAAGTCCAAGTTCTGAATAGGAAATTTTTAGATAGGCATTATCCAGAACAGCTCCTATCCAATACACAAAAACAGGTGGAAGGTTACCAGAGGAGGGATATCCTAAAGAATAATAGAAAGATCAAGAAGGATGCTGGGAAACAATCTGAATTTGCTTTTCTGTCAAAATTTAGTAATAAAGCCAATCTAATAGAGAAGTCTATTAAGAAAAATTGGCCTATTTTATTACAAGATAAATTTTTAAAAAAGATCCTACCTCAGCACCCTAGAGTAATCTATAAAAGACCTAATAATTTGAAGAGCATTTTAGCTCTTAGCATTTTGCCTAAAAAAATAGTCGAGAGTGAGAAGACAAATTTTTTAATAGAAAGGCCAAAAGGTTTTTTTAAGTGCGGTAGATGCAATACATGCAAATTTCAGAAGAATAAGACCACTGAATTTTCTAGTGTGGTAACTAATGAAACTTTTAAAATTAAACATTTTATCAATTGCCATAGTAAATTTGTAGTATACATGTTACAATGTAAATGTGGGGTTCAATATATTGGACGGACAATTAGAAAACTACATACTCGATTGCTTGAACATTTTAATGGGATTAAGAATAAAAATGAGAAACATAGTGTACCGAGACATTGTAATACATGTAAAGATTTTGATTTTAAAGATTTTATCTGTATTGGGATAGATATGGTTTTACCTCATTGGAGAGGTGGAGATACGGAAAAAAGGCTAGCCATGAGAGAAACTGAGTGGATATATAAAATGAAATCTTCTGTTCCCTCAGGATTGAATACTGATTTGGATATATTAGCCTTTATAGATTGACCTAGTGATGATTTTTCTCGGCCTCTTTTTTATATTATTTTTTATGTTTTTTATGTATTTTATGTATATATGCATATACACTAGCTTTTATAGACTAATATAATGTGATTTGATTTTTTGACCTCCTTTTACATCTTTTGTATATATATATATATATATCTCTTTTTTAATGCCCCCATCTCTTATTATATGTTGCAATAAGCTATATACATTGAGCATCGCTTTGTATTTGAATATTTTTGCTTTATGTATTTGTATCTTTACATCTACAGGCTTGAATTCATCCCTATTGACGTGAATATTATTTTGGATGATGCTGCTCATACCTTGACACGACTATTTATTATTTGTATAGCTGTATTGATATCATCATTTAGATGATTTACCACTGTAAGATCTCTGTATATCATAGTATGAAGGTTATTTTGGAAATATAAATGGACAGATCTCCTTTTTTTCCCTTAATGTATACTTTTTTTTTTATATACATATATTTTTTATTGTATATTTTTCATTTTTTTCTTTATGATTTTTTATTTAATTTTTGTATTATACATATTTTCTCCTTATTGGCCTTCCTTTTGCCACCTGTCCTATTTATATTTTCCCCTCTGCCTGTTTAGTGTTCCTCTATTTAGGGGTTAGCAGGGGGGTAGGCAGGTACTG